TTTTTTTAAATTTTTTTTTCAACGTTTATTTATTTTTGGGACAGAGAGAGACAGAGCATTAATGGGGGAGGGGTAGAGAGAGAGGGAGACATAGAATCGGAAATAGGCTCCAGGCTCTGAGCCATCAGCCCAGAGCCTGACGCGGGGCTCGAACTCACAGACCGCGAGATCGTGACCTGGCTGAAGCCGGACGCTTAACCGACTGCGCCACCCAGGCGCCCCAACTCTATACCCATTCTTAACTACATTATAAGTAAATATTGAATGTCATATATTCAGTTGTCTTAGAAATTTGTAACATAGGGGGTGTATGTTACTGTTTAAGCTTAACATGGGTCTTCATCTATTTTCAATAGTGACTTTATATGTATGTTGTTCTCTTGCCTCATAGCCTGGAAGAGTTGTCTCCAGCTTTTTTTGATTGTACATCCTGTCAAAAAAATTAATCTTGTACTTCCAAAGTTTGTATATTTATGTATGAATGATATGTATCTGATATATACTATAAAAACATGTAAAAAATTTAAAGAATGAGGTAACAGTGGAAATTGGAGTTCTATTTTTTTGTGTGTCTACACTCTAGTGGGCTCTGTACCTTTGGCTGTCACTGAGCTAGACCCCTTCGGACATTGTTTTCTTCTTTATTGAGCTGCTCTGTCTCCACTGATTTCCCAGTGGTTATTTGTGTGGTCACTTTTAAAATAATGAATATGTTACATTGTTTCAATATCTCATAAACACATCCTTATGACAATTTTCCCCATTTTATTAGGGTAGAACCACTCTTAAGTTTTAACATAATTGAAATAAGGTATATGCTTATTTGTGTATGTTTGTTCAAAAGAAAAAGAGAAACTTAGGTCATGCCATACATAAATTCCCTATTCAAGAAGAAATACACATTTCTTGAGGAGAAACTGTTTCAGAACAACGCTAAAGTACATTATCTTTTTCTTTTATGGAGTAGGGGGGATTATTGGCCTTCTCTTTGCCAGGTACCATAATCCTTCTAGGCCGTTATCCCCATTTTATGGGTGTAGAAACTGAAGCTCCAAGAGATAACTTGCTCCAAGAAAAAAAAGTGGAACTTGGATTTAGAC